GTATTTTGCCATTACATGTACACTTGAACAATCATCAAGTCACTTCTTATGTCTTTTCTCTAGTTATCACTTTGAGGAAAGGTGTAAATCCAGCTTGTATTTTTTATTGTCTGTGATAGCAAAATCAAATTAAACTTGCTAAAAATTATGATAGCAAGTTACTAATGTCTTTCAATTTTAAGAAATCTGTTCAGAGAGCTTGACTTTGAGATACAGCTGTTAATCACTCAGAGCTGTCAATGGCTTCAGAATTACTACAGGAGCCCACATTCCCCTCTCTTTCTTTTCCTTTCCTCAAAGTACTTTTTATCCTCTTCCTCTAGTTTATCATTGTATCAAAATACCTCAAGGTTATCTGCTAGTAAAAAATCTGAAGGAATTTCTTTTTTTTGCATGAGGTTAGTTTTAACAAGGGAAGGAACTTCTTTCTGAAAACACTGATGTGTTATCCAGTCTCAGGACAAGAAATTTGTTTTGCTGCAGGGGTTCTTAAGTGGAGAATCCAACACCTTAGTTTTTTATGCTGCCCATTGTGAATAATGTGCTAGGATAACAAGATATGAAGAAAGCAGATTAGATGAGTGCATTTCTGCCAAGCTTAATTGTTTATTGTTATTGTTATTATTTATAATTATTATTATATATAATAATGTATTATTATTGATTATTTATTATTATTGTTTCTGTATTTCTGAAAACAGGGCAGTTAAACCCTCTTCTAGAATTCAAGCCTAATGAATAAAAATGTAAGCAGTCCCTATGTGCTGTATACCTCTTTATCTTGTATATAAGACTAGTAAAGAACTGGAAGACAATTTTTTGAATAACAGATGCTAGAAAGAATGGTGGCTTTTTATATAACAATTAGAATCTGGAATTCTAAATTTAAAGGTTATATGAGCTTTCTTAAAATTAATGTGAAGGCTGACGTGACATTTAACCCTAGTTAAATTTGCTGGATTTTTCTATCATTCAATAAATAATAGAGATTTAGGTACTATTTCTTATTTACAGGTTCTAGGCACAAATAGCATGTATACTTTGTGGAAATCCTCTAGATCCATAAAGAGGGATACAGGGAAGAGAAAGCTTCAGGATGAAAGAGTGGAACATGATAAATTGATGACCAATGGACTGAAATGTTTCAGCTGTCATTGCTCCCCGTGTCTATTACTGTATTTTTTTTTTAAAAAGTTGTTGTCCTTGGAAGCAAACAAATAATGATTTTTGCTCTTACCATTGCACTAAATTAGCAGTGTTAAGATGTTTGCTGGTTTCTTAATCTCTGATAGACTGCTGGTTTTACAGTTAGCAGTGTTGCTTTATTTTCTTTCCCAGAGATGTTCAGTGTGACAGGGGTAACTTTCCTTTTGGCAGTTTCTCTGCTTTGTGTGATGGTGTTTTTGGGGTAGCTTTTTGGGCAGCTTTTTCTTTTCATGCTGATTTCTTAGTGCGGTATGAAGTGTATTCAGGACAGGTGATGAAGAAAGAGTAGAGAAGTTTTTGTTAGGGGTGATGCACTGGTAGAATGGGAATATACAAGAATATCATTCCCTTCTGCTTCCTGTCAACCTTCTCTCCAGGGCAGCTCTCTGCGAGAAGACTTTCCCCCTCAGAGTAAAGAAAGAGGTGATATTCCAAGTTACTGCTCCCCGCAGGCCTCCAGGTACTGCCGGACCTCTGCTTCATTCCTGTGTCCCCTGACTGCTGCCTGGATGGTTTTCATCATTCTTGGGTTTGGGTTTTAGGAATAACGGGTTAGAATTTCAACCAGTTTGTCACCCTAGAAACTTATTCCACCAGTTTAGGGTAAAGAGGCCTCTTCCAGGAGGAAAACCCATCTTTTGCTCAGTGCTCACCCTTGATGACCTCCATGCTGTTTTATGAGCCTGGGGGCTTGCAAGGCTGCTGGCTTTCATGCCTCATTCCCGATGACATCTGGAAATGGTCTCTACTCAAAAGGTAAGACCAGAGGAACCAGTAAAAAGGAACAAGCACAGTCTTGGCGAGGCCTGATGTCTTTGTCCCTGTTTCAGGTGGGGCTGTGGAAGCAGTGTTTACTGGCAGCACCTTTTTGGAAGCCTCATGAAGCCCAGAAGTCTGAGGGATGCTTCCTTCCCTTCTTTGCTGTGTATGCCTCTTCTCCCAGATTTGAGACAGGGAAGAAAGAGGAGACTCACTACATTTACAAACCAAAGTGAAGCACCTTGTGTCTTTGAGGCTGCAGGGAGTGAGCTTTGTCTCTCCCAGAGGCATTTTCATAGTGCATCAGTAGCTTAAAAGCTCTCAACAGAAACTTAAAGTCAGAGCCTTTTTCTATGTATCACTATCAAAACTGTTATTAGCATACTTTGCTTGCTATACAAGAGAAAAACCTGTGGATTGGACACCCTATGTGTTAAAATGAAGTGGAATTTATCATATTTACCTCTCAAATCCTTTTTACATACAGTTGTTTCAGATGACATTATTTACACGAGAGAGACTTGATCTTTTTTTCTGTTTTCCTGAGATTGTTTTCTTTGTTCCTTTGTTCAGTTTTGTTGTTTCCTGTGGACAGCTGGTGAATGTTTCTTTCTTCTTGTCATTTTCTTCTTTCACACAGCAGTAGCAAAGGGAAAATACTTCTCTCTCCTGACACAAATAGCCCATCTTCCTTTGGCTACTACCAGGATTTTTGTTTGTTTCAGAAGAACAGAGAGATAAGTAAACAAGACAGAGAAAGGCATGCTTGTTAAATTTTGCTCCCTTGGACACAGCTGAAACTGCTCATCGTGCAATGCCAAAATCTGTTTTATTTCTCCCAGGGTTATGTTCTAAGATGTTTTGATTCCATGATAACTTTTCTCTGCCACTATCCTGATGTTTCTCTGTCTCTATCTTCTATGCTTAGCATAAGATGAGTAAATACAATATCCATACATTTGTTATCAGACATTCTGAGTCACTTGTCTCGGTTGTTACCAAATTTGCTTATAGTCAACTTCTTGAGTGTGGCATTTTTCCCTTATTTCCAGCTGTCAGCACTATGAAAAATGATACCTCATTTAACTTGAGTGAAAAACAGCTCTTATGTCTGGCTACCCCAGGGAGATGATGGATTGGCCCAACTTGTGCCATGAAAAAATACACTTAGAATGCTCTTCTGAGAGAACAAAAGCTCAAGGACATAATACCAAAATTGGTTTGTAACTCCTTTTGTAAGAGTAAAAAGAGGTTTGCCTGTGTTTTCCTAATTAGTTTTTCCAACAGCCAGGTGCTGTTTGTCCTCCAAGTGCAGTCCTGCCTGCAGGGTAAAAAATCCAAACTTGCTTGTCTTCAGGAATGTTTTTTTGAAAGCTGAGTATTTAGCAGGATTTGTAGAATGGACCTATCTTCCATTCAAACCAAAATAGGGCTCTCTTATGTTTCAATCCTGATGTTTTCTTTAGGACTTCTGTCTCCCAGGTTTTGTGTTGGGATTAATTATCACATTTTTGTTCTGCATACTTATTACAGGAATACATACAAATCCCAAGGAGATGTGATTAATATTTCAGTGGCAGGGTCCCTGGGTCTCTTACAGGTGTTAGGAAGTGTTTCAGAAAGTTGTGTGATACTTGTTCCTTGGTTGGCAGTTTGAGGGTTCATGGTTGTGTTTTGACACAAGGGATGGATTTTGCTTTGCCAAGCTCATTTTGTTCAGCACAAACCACAATAAAGGGCTTCTTCATATCCTGTTTGAAATTCATGGCTTGAAGGTGGTGCTCAAATTAAGAATCAAATCTGCCAATAATTGGAGGGAGGGAGAAATGAACAAACAAAAAGGAAAATCCTACCTTGACACATAAATTGAAATTCCTTGTAACTACCTTAAGTTTCTTCTAATCCAAACTATTTTAGAATTTGCTTCTAGATCTTGATTCCATTGCAGGTGTGCATGTTCTTGTATGTAATTAGAAATCTAGTTTATATAAAAAGGTAATGTTTAAATGTTACATATTTTTAAACAAACCAAACAAGCAGATGCTTAGGGGAGACTTATGCATGTAGTTTCTTGGGTGGAATTGCTTTTCCAGAGTGACCTGCAAGCCTAAACACCAGTGTCACTTTCTCAGCTGTTCTGTGGAAGGAAACCCAGCAGCTGCTGTCCCATAGTGTGGGCTACTTGTGGCATGCTCTGGACTAATGGCAATAAAATTAATATGTCAAACCAATTGTAATCTAAAGGTGTCTATAATTCCCCACATTGAATAAAAAACTTAAGTAGTGTTTAAGCAGCTATTAGAGAGGTCTCCCTTATGCTCGTTTAGAACAAAATGAGGACTCTAGAAACATTTAAGATTAAATTGAGAAGTGAGTAAATTATCTTAATCTTAGAAATAAAATATCCCTTAAGGATTCAAAGTGCTTGGTTTCCTTCTCTGATTGTTATGGTCACTATACCTTTAAGTATTTTTGGATTAAAAATCCCTTCTTTTGATTTAGCATTTGATATATATATACATGCTCATCCTGTTTAAAGAGTTTGATTCAGCAGGAGAATCATATTGAACATATATTTTCAGTAGCTAGTGAAAAAGTATTTTACTGGTATAATGTGAAAATGTAGATTTGATGGTTGCATGTTTGAAACTTCGTAACACTGGGTTTGTCACTAGAGAATCAATGGAATTTTTTTTTCCTAGCTGTTTTAATTTGAGAACTTTTTAAAATTTGGTTAACCGATGTCAGGCGATGGCCATGGAAGAAGCCCTTCACACTTCAGATGGTGACAAAAAAGAACAGGCAGCTTAAATGCTACCGAACTAGGGGTGTGTCAAATCTCTCTCAAGAATGATAAACTCAATGGAGCTGTCTATTTTTAACCTCCTGTTCTTTCCTTTTGGCAGACTAATCAGTGTTAGCTGAGCCGTTTCGCTGAATGAATCCAAGCGACTCCGGTGCTTTCTGCAATGAGCAGTGGACCCTCAGAGTGCCTCAAGCCTGCTTTGATGTATGCAGTCCCCTTGTGAAACACCATGTCAGATGAAGCCAGCTCGGAGCAGAAGCCTTCTACAACAACAGTGAGCTCAGTTGCTGTGCAGGCTGGGGATGCCAGCATTGTTATAGCTGTGCTGAAGGTAAGGCACCAACTGCTGCCACGGCTGCTCTCATCCTCTGCTTCTCCGTCATTAATGCTTTTAAATATTCTCTGCAAATGAGGAGTTAGCATGAAACGGTACAGCAAGGCCATTTGGTTATTCAATGTCTAATAGGCTTTTCTTGCAAATTAGCACTTGTTTCTGTTCACAATTACTCTTGGTGGCTTTTTCCAATACAATAGATTTTGGTCAAAATATGTAGGGTCTTGGAAGGAATTCCTTTTACTCTGTTTAAAAAGAGTTAAATGAAGAGTGGCATAATGTGTTTAAAGCATGGTGATTGCAGTTCAGCCTCCTTGAGTTACTTTAACCTGTACTAAGTAATAATTTTACACAGTAAGTGTACAAACTCCACAGATGAAGTATTTTCTGGGGAAAAAAATAAGGGGCTAAACTTAAAAATGAGTAGTTATTTTTTGAAAGCTGTGAATCCACCATCCCACATGTTTCAGTAAGCCTTTGTGTACATACAGTTGTGTTTATAAGTATGGAAAGGCCTGTCTTGTAAGTTGGATTCCACACCTTCAGTTGTGTGGAATTGGGCAGTGGGAGAAAATCTAGATGTTAGTAATGAATCCCAGCTGGAATTTATTGGCAGTTTGATTTTCATTCTCCAGGCAACCTGGAAAACGTGCTAGCCTCAGCCATTAGAGTATGTTTGTAATGCAGAATAAGGTGATAATGGGTTGAGTTGTCACCTAATTCAGGTGGTTATTTAGGATGGCTTACCTCAGTTGTGGGAAGGGTTTTTGAGGTTAGTTTTCACCCTTCCTGTGAGTCCATCTGCTGTTGCAGGGGAGTAATATCATTGCAAGGAGACTCAAATTGATGGTGAAGCCACTTTCCCTCTCTGTGCTGTGGAAGGAAGCATGCTAGCTTCCAGTGACATTACAGCTTCAGTCCTTATCGGCATCCTTTGGTCCCTGTCCCAAAGGCTGTTCAGTGTCCCTGCTGTTACCTGTGCAATGTCTTGTTCCATGTATTCACTGTAGAGGTACACTGGACCCATGCAATAGAAATAAGATCTGAGGATGGTTTTTTGCATCTTCTGTAATAGATTTGTTACTTCTGCTTGCCCCACTCTCCCACTAAATTCACATAACTGTGTCATCTTCAGCTAAAAGGGGAGATGAGTCAGACAAAAATTTTGGCTCATTCTGATGGTTTTACTTTTCATGGGCAAAATCAATATTGGAACATCATCTGGATAACACTAGTCTGGGGTTTTGTTACATGTTTCAGATGAAGTTTGTAGTGTATTCTCTGTGACTTCCTTGTGTGTATGGTCCCTGTGCTCCTATGACTATGGAAAGTACTTGTGAGCTGGGAATCCGTGTGAGTAAATAAATGAAGGAAACCTTGTGTTTTCTGAAGGCTGTAATTATTTGCTTATTACAGTGTGGAAAATGGGTGAAGCTTCAGCTAGCTGAATCAACACCAAATATATTAGAAATTGGCAGCAATCAAGATGAGACTAAAAAACTACTTCAAGATCATGAATTCCTCCTATCCAAGCTGAAGGTAAGATGTCATAAAATTCCTCAAGTCATTACAGTCCAGGTACAATAGCTGATGTAGCTGTTTGTGTCTCCTGTTGCAGTATGGTGGTTAGATTAAATTCCACATGGAAAAAAATATGTTCATCTTTTGTCAATGTAGCAGATCTTTGATGGTCCTTGTGGGTTCTTTCCAATTCAGGATATTCTATAATTCTCTGGAAATTACACTTCTTTCCAGGAAAAATATGCTTCTGAGAGCAGCAGAAAAGGCACAGTTTTTTCTACTTTATACATCAGTGTCAAGTGAAAAAATCCTATATCTAAATATAAAGGAATGTAAATTAATTTTTTTTAATTTTCCAATGTTGTGAAAAGTCTGATTATTTTATAACAGCTGTGAACACAAGCAAGCCCTTTGTAATTCTGAAGCAGATATTCCACAAACATTTTAACTGAATCTTAACTGATGTATGTTGCATTGGTATTGATACTGTAGGATTAAAACAGCTTGTCTTGATCTAGGAATATTTTAATTAAGTGACAGTCCTAAAATCAGGTTTTGGCATTCCTGAGAGCAGATTATAACAACAGTGGCATTTGGACACTGAGTGACAGGCTTGCATTAAAGAGTTGAATCATTTTAAGTGTGGGTGTTTGACACTGAGAGAAGTCTGAAGTCACCTAAAAAGAAATGTTTTAGTGTTTTGATAGGGCAGGTTGACTTTATATATGTAGACAAATTAATTCCTCTAACAGAGAATCTATTAAGAGTAACTTATCCATTTAATTTTTGGGGGAATTACATAAATTTGAGATCTGAAAGAACAAACATGATTTGGATAGGATAAGTATTTTATTTAATGCCAAGGACTATGTACTTCCCCAATCATTAAAAATATCCAATGAGTGTGAGGGAATTCAGTACAGTATATAGAGAATGTAGCTAATACACTGCACTGTGTGGATTTTGAAGAGTATGAAGAATTGAATTATGGAAAAAACCCACCAAATACCCAAAACCAACCAAAATACCCAAATCCTAGAGAAAGATGGTTTTGCTTTCCTTTTTTATGCCAAGTGCTTCATCTTTATTGTCACTAATGCAACATTTGGGTATTCTTGGAACAAGCTGCTGTGGCCTGTTTGAGCAATTCAGAATTAACTGAGTTCTTACATCCTGATGACAGAATGAAGCTGATTCTTTCTCTCCTAATTTTCAAAAATAAATATTAAAGAGTGGGAGAAGAAAACAATTCCCGTCTCTGAAAGAAACTCCCATCTTTTAAGAAAAGCAAGGTTTCAAATAATATTTTACAATCAGATCAAATCAGATCAGAACATTTATTATAAACTGTTAAAGAATACTTTTCATCCATATACATTGGGAACAAGCACTAGTTATTTCATGTTTTATTCCTGTGGCTCTTTCAATTCAGCATTGATTAATGAATATTCTATGAAAGAATTAAGTTCAAAATTACTACTTTTTCCTTAATAACATGAGCTATAAAAATAAGGGACTGCAGTGTTGTTATAATTCTTCCTGGCTGTGTGTTTTTCAGCCAAGACCATTTGTGACTTATAGCAAGTTGTTAACACTTGTCAGTAATTACATAGTCTTAAGTCACTAAACCCAGTTGTAAAAAGTTTTTTCAAGATTGATCCTCAGTTTTTGAATTATTGTTTATGGTAATTATTTTCCACTTAGCATTTGATAATGAATTATACCTTAGCTGTGCAAAGATGGGTAAGAGGCAGTTTGAATTGTTTCCCCATTTATTTTTTATTGTTTTAATAAAAAAGGAAAATAAATTCTTACAGATACCCATACTTGATTTGCATATGCTCAACTTTATTGATTAGACTAACCCAATTCAAAATTAATTTTTTGTGCAGGTCAGGTAAAAATTCTTGAACAAATAATGACTCAATCATGAATCTAGTCCAGCTTAAGGCCAGGGTTAGATGATTCATACTAAATACACCTTTGGAAAAAGTAGAGACAAACCTATCAACTTTTGGAAGATAATTTATGGAATAGTTGTTCATTCTGGCATTATCCCATGTTCTTCTGTAAACTCGTTCTAGGTTTTTATCACCCCTTTGCTTTTTAACTTCATTATTTTCATCCCAGTATATTTATTGCAAGTTATAATCAAAATAGTCAGGCTAAATTCTTCTGCCAGCTCAATATGTTGAAGATTCACAGATGTAAGTAAGGACAAAGTCTGGCACAGTGATCAGTTTACATACAGTACTTCTGATGCTAGAGGAAAAAGAATGTAATCCAGCTCAGTATTTCAGGGAATTGGTTTTGACTTAGCAATGCTAACAGGTTTAGAAAAGCCCAAACAAACAGCTTGACATTTAGTAAGGCAGATGGTACTTTAAACAGCAATTGGAATAAATTTGTTGAAAGATGAAACAGTAATTTTTAGAACATTTTTGAAGTTCTTTTAATGTTCAGAATTATAGTAATAAAAATTGTTGTGTGGTCTTCTGGGCTGTAGGGAAAAACATATCCAAAATACTTTGATAGAATGCACTCTAGTTTATTCATAACTGATTTACATTTGTTCCATTAAATTTAGGAATTGGAAACACCTTACTACTTAAACAAAAAGCAGAATACAAGTTCTGAAAAGGGTTCCACTTCAAATGTTTATGGATTAGGAAACAGATGTTTTGTTATTATTAATAGAGTTGAAAGAATAAATGTTGAACAGCAAAGATTGAAACTGAGACTAAACAGAGAACATGTATACAATATTTACATCCAGGTAAAATTTCCCCTCAGGAGCCTCATCTAATAGGTTCTGATTCTAAGCCAATATATTCTGTTTCTCTTTTCCTAAATCAGACCATATCAGCAGCACCAGTTTTGTTGAAATCATCAACTTCTGTGATTTCATGGAAGTCTCTTTCCCAATATCTGCCTCATCCTTGTTTAGGTAACTTTCAGCAGGTATATATGTTCTGGAAATATGTATATGTGCATTTGGATGTCTCATTCTTCACAATTTAAAAAGAAAAATGAGAATAATCAAACCTATAAAACCTGAGACAAAACTTCCAGGAGGTAAAATGACCTGGATTGCACTTTGCACGACATTTCTCCGCCGTTCTCCTGTGTTTCCAAGAGAAGCGCTACTTGCGGATAACGTGATTTCTTAGTGCTTGGGTCTCTCAATATTAAAACTCACTAGATATTCTGAAAAAAAAATAAAAGAAAAAGAGTGTATGTATGTCCATAAAAATGTGAAAATTCCCAATAAGGCATTCTTGGTTTGCTTCCAGAATTCTGATTTTTATAATGAGAAAGACTGTGGCAGAACAGCCACAAAATGGAAGAGAATCCAGTCCATAAACTTAAGTTTAAAACCATTATTGTTATTAATTTGGCTCATGAACCTGAGGATTGCTCCTAAATATTTTATTTACTTTAATTTACAGAGCATAAATTGCAAAATATTAATTTATATGGTAATAGCCAAGAGAAAAAAACCTAGAAAATTACATTCTTCAAAAAGCACTAATATAATACATTAATTTTTTGCATTTGATACCTTTTAAATAAGCCTTTCAGTTATTTCAAGCAAAAATGTTTTAAAAATGCTTACTTTTAAGATATTTTCTTATGGAAG